GTAGCAAGTGCCACGCTAGTAGTAACAAGTGCCTTACTAGTAGTAACTAAGAAGCTATTAGAAACAATAAGCTAATAGCTTTCTTGTTTCAAACATTTTGTTTCTCCTCGCATGTACTAATTCCAATGCAGGACTACTGCTACTAACTTGCGGAGCCAGTCGACCAAAACACCAGTGCAGAAAACGGTACCCCCCTTGCCACCACCGTATACCACCGTGAAGGCAAGTGTTTTTACTCAGGGGTGGGGTCAAAGTAGAATGGTGCACTTTGCTCGTCAAATTGTGAAACAAGTCATGTACATGTTACATGACCCAACTTCGTCATCTGAGTCAAAACCCAACACTCCATGCAACTGGCATAAATACCAATGGGGTGGTTGACCCGAGGTCAGTAATGGTCAAATGTATGTATATATATATATATGTACATATATATATATAAACCCATGCCATACTGCCATACCTGGAGTGTTGGGGATAGTGATCTTTCGGCTACAGGATTCTACTGTGCCTTTGGACTACAGTATTTGGGACTTGGCTTTCTGCCTTTGCTGTGACGCTTCCTACAAGCAAGGATGGGAAAAAGCAAAACTCTTAGAGTGATCAGGGGTAGATGCAGGACTCCTTGATGAAACCGAACACGTACATCCTCTCTGGTGGAAGCGCATCCTACTCTGGAGAGGTCCCCAACAGGTGGCGCGGAGAGGTCTGGTTCCTTAGGTCGCTGTATCGCCAATCCTCCCTTTTTTACTCACAGCACCTCGAAAAAACCACTGCATCGTTTTGCAAAACCATGCTTCAAATGCCCCTTGGGCACATCAAGCATCACACTGGCACATGCACATGCCAACACATACGATGATTCAAAAACAGGATTTTATTGTTGTTTTTGCAAGTAATGACTCATGACCTTGAATTATCCTCACACCAGCATATGGTCTTTTCCTTGCACCAATTCTCTTACAATATCAATATATAGTTATATATACAGTATATAGTATATTAAACTATATGTATATAATATATATAAACATTATAAACACGATCTTTTCCCACTTTCCCCACCCGGGCCTTTCGCATTTCAGTCAGCCCAGACACTTGATCCCAGGACAGTCAGGTCCGCGCGATAAGGCCACCGAGCAATGCCCCGGCTCCGCCTCACCTTGGTGCCGGTGGCGAGCTCAGCAGGTGGCGAGAGAGGTCCTGAAGGTCAACAGGTGAGCTGAAATCCAATGCGATAAGTTTTCCAGACATTTTTTGTGGACTTTCTGCTGTTCAAATGGAAACCCATGTGTCCTTTGGGTCACAAACAAACATCACAAATTTGGGCCGCCTTGGGCCGGGCAAGGGGAGGCCGCTGTAGAACGGGACAATGGGTATTTGGGCATCTCCAATGGTGCAGGATTTCGAGCGTGCACACTCTCACTGGCAAAGATTGCTATCTGCACAGGCAATCTTGCCTCGCGCCCGGTGGGCGCAGGGCTTCTTCGAGGGATCGTCTGTTGCAACGGTATAATAAACATCTCGACCAAGGTGAGGATGGACTGAAGGATGGACTGAAGGACTGGTGGAATTACTCCCAGAAATCATCATTGGCAGTGGCTGGATGGCATGGATGACCATTTGCCACGTTCCGAAAACCCAACAGTGTGAGGTCATGTGAAGTTCACTTGTGTTTGGAGTGCACGTATACCCCACGCCACTCTGAGTGGACGCACCCTGGATTCACTGCGGTCTCACCCCGGACATAGATGCGAGGAGATTGCGGTGATCGAATCTCCAAGTGGCGGCTGCCGTTGGGGTAGAAGGACAGCTGCATCTGTCCTTCCTGGTCGAACAGGAACATCTGGACAAGCGAGGGTTGGCACAAGTTGGTGCAAGTCTTGTGAACAACCCAGGAACAATAACAGCTTTGACCGCACTTTGTTATCTTTGTTGGCTGAAAGGCCCAACTAAGGAAGTATATGAGCATATGAGCATCCATTCCATTCATTGCCGCACAGCAGAATCCGTGCCTGGATACTGAATGTGGGTGACATCACACAGGAGTCCTGCCAGCAGGTCGAAGTTACCACCCTCTTGTGGGGTATTCTGGTCCCTTCGCACCCAATGAGAAACTGTTCGGAGAGTCAACAAAAACATCAAAACACTTAAGCTTCCATACCCTTCCCATTCAAAAGATCCCAACGGAGCATGGGCCCTCCTCTTCGGGGTCTCGGTGCCCAAACCCTTTCAAACCCGATCCCAACCGCTTCAGCGGACCATTTGAGCCGACGAAGTACCCGCGATTTCGCGATGCCGTCCCTTTCACCGGCCATCGGCTACCGCCATGTCGGTCCTTGGGAAACTTGCAGAGTTCCCGCCAGGGGTCCGAGACGGTCCAATCAAAGCGGGAGCCTGAGACCAAGGCATCCGGACCTGGCTCGAGTCTGTCGGACTCGTCGTCGAGGCTAAGGCTGGTAAGGAAGGACGAAGGGACGGACAAACTGGTTGCCGATGAGGTGACCAGCATCAAAGGTCGGGCGCCCGGTAGCCTCTCAATGGTTTGCAAAGTGTCCAAGTGTTCGTGCGACGCTTGCGTCACTTCAGATTCAGCTGATTAAATTCACTCTGACGATGTCATACGCTAACTATATTATACAAAAAGAGTCACGAGCCACTTCCTGAACGATATCCACGTGTGCGTGTGCATCAGCTCTGACACCGACGACGATGCATCTCTTCAAACAGAACGATTGAAAGTCAGCATGGAGTACCGCATCGTGAGTGACTCCAAAGAACATCATAGACAAATCACTGCAATTCACATGGAGGTGGATGGCGCCACCTGTTTGTAGTGGATTTCATGGTCTTCCAAGTAGGCGCCATGCCATCCACGTAACCATGTTAGTTGCAGGGAGTGTAGAACATATGACCTGGAGACGCTGTTCTACGCCGGACTACGTCGCTTTCGAGCTTGGGTCGTTCTCGATCGAAACACGTCGCCCCGTTCCGAGCTCTCAGCCTGGCCGGACGGAATGAAGGTTGCTTTCTGCAACCCTGTCGCGTTTTCAACGTTTTCACGGGTATATACACGAAGCATAGACGACCACATCCCAGGAGGTCCTCGATTCTCTCCCCCATGAGGAAGGATTCTCTCCTCTCCCCATAAGGAATCCACAGCATAAGGCAGGAGGATTCACCCAGTCAAATCGGTCCTCCCCCACCCAGGTGGCTCCGAGCACACCACCGAGCGTAGCGCCTTCTTCCACGAGCTGAAGCTCGATCGCCGCGGGCAAGGTGAAGTCACCCGGGTCACTCAAGTCCGGCAGAAGCCCCTGAGGGTGGGCGCATGGGGAAACCCACACAGCGGACAGGTGGGACGTGACCAAGAACCAGGAATATTCGTACACTTTGTCCAAGAACGTTCAAGATGCTCATGAAAACTGCATGCTGTTCTCTTGGCACATCAAGAAACATGAAAACCCAAACCTAAGAATCGATGGCTGTCACCCAAACGATCCGGACTCTCACCCAAACAGCCAGAGTTGTGGGGCTTCAGGGCTCGGGGAGGGCTCGTCTGGGCCTGGGCCTTTTGTGATCGTGAGGGGCCGAGGGCAAAGCAGCAGCTTCATTAAGCAGTTTCATTGGAGTGCCAGTACGTGTCACTATGAGCTTGTGCTACATCAAGATCATGAAGGGTGCTTGAAGCATGCAAGATCTTGCAAGCATTCCAACTGCATGTGTTGCGCAAAGTAGTTCACAACATGTGTTTGCAACAGCGGTGTTCATTATCTTCGTCACGTGTGCCATGGATTGATGGTCCGTGGGCATAAAAGACTTCTACAAGGCCGGCCCTGCACATACAAAGTAGAAGTAGCACATAATATATATATATATATATTGCGTCTTCAAAGCAGAGTGCAACGCAAGCAACTCTTGCTGCAAGACTTCCTCACGGTTTGATGTATGGCTGGCGTTTGGTTCAAGCCAAGTGTGTTGCATCATGGCCATGGACACTGGCGTGATCGCGCGCACCGGCTGCCTAAAGCTTATGTGCAAACGAGGAGTAGCCTCAGTTCACACAGCTTACAATAGTTGTAGATATGATGCGGATTGATGCGGCATGTCTCTTTGGCAGTGCCCTGACGCATTGCCAGAAGAAAAAGCCTCCATGCAACACCCTCTTAAGCCAAATAAAGACGTGGATTATATTGGCTATGAAGATATGATCACCTCCTTCCCGCTCATAGTTGCCTCAAGTGAGTACTCTCCGAAATGCGACATGGCTGAACTAGGTAAACTCTATTTTTCAGCTCAGCAAAGGTGAGCATACCACAGACTTTCAGCTTAAATCTTGGAGATCGGAGATAGACGAGGAACGTAATGGCGCCCTATCTAATCGCAGAAGCGGGCGAACGGGCACGTTGGGTCCTTGACGTATTTTGACCACATGTACTACCCATGGGCAATGGGCGCTAGGCAGACAACAATCCAAGGGGGCTTGAGAGATGCTAGGGACAGCTAAGGACAATTAACTAAGGACAGCTCTCCCTTTTTGCTTTCCAGGAATTAGCATGAATATGATGATGGTCGGTTTGATGAGCCATGCTGATTATGCTAGGGAATTTCGGAAACGCCGCCTGATGCGACGTCCGCAGGGTGGAAACCTCCCATTGACTTCGTAAGACTTCGTTGCTACTCCCGGTTCGGCGCAGTTTTCGCGGCGGGGCTTCGGCGCGGCTTCTGCCTGCAACAAGGGCGAGCCCACCGGTCGGATCATCGGCGAAGGCGTGGGCGTTCGTCCCCAACCTGCGTGGCGAGTGGGACATCGCGATGCGGGCAACATTGCGGGGTGGGACAAACCACCCACCCTTGATTATATAATCTTGAAATTAATTGAGGGTGGTCTTACCCACCTGCCAGAGATGAAAACAGAGGGTATGACAGTGAATCGATTAATTTAGTCTAGATTCGTCTAGATAATTAATTCTGGTTGGCTACACATGGCTACACCCTATTGGAACATCAGCGAGGTTGACCATCGTTGGCCACAAGAGAAACACACATAACACTAACCGTCACTAACCTATACTAATCTGCAAAATGACGCAACATGTCCAATGTTTTCCTGCGGAATGCATCACTCTATGTCGCTGGTCTCTCTGGTCCCCAACTTTTTTGGCGAACCCGATGCATAAGCTCTAATTACTCTGAAGTGTGGAGCAACAAATAGACAAAACAATACAAAAAGTGTGCACTTTAGGATATAAAGTGTGCAGTGTGCACACGGTAACACACAGTATAGCACCCCTCAAAAGTCAAGTTGAGGCTGCCTGCGCGGGTGGGTGCATGCTTTTCTATCATGAAAATTAATTGGGGGTGGGTACACCTCCTACCCACCCCTAATTAAATGCACACATTGCCAAAGCAATGGTGGTAACCACCACAAATAAAAATTCACTACCACCAACCACCACCAAAATCTATCTGTATTGAAACATTCCCAAAATAATCAAAGGTGGGTCACTTCCCAACCACCACCAATTAAAAAAACAAAATGCAATGTCAAATTTCATCAATTTTTGTTAATTAGTATAGTTGAACCTGGGTCTACCCCCCAACCACTCCTGTTTAATATGCGCAACTTGGACGGGAGGGCGAGTGTGTAGGAGTTGCACGTTCTGGATGGCGTTGGCTATCGTACTTCCAGCGGTTCCCTGGTTCAACCTCATTGACCAAAAAAGTACTCGATGCTGTCTTCCATCGTTGTGACCGGTTCCCATACAGTGTCAGGAGGCCAGCCCTGTGAACGGAGGACCAGGTAGGCACACATTGAAGCAAGGTGGATCGCTACGATGCAGTAGAGCAAGTATTTTGATGCCACCACTTAGCCTGCGGCCTGGAGCACCCAGGCTCTCCTGGTCTTCAACGAAAAGGAGGAAGCAGCTACTAAGCACACACCAAACAAGTCCGTCACACTGCAGATTGTTGCAGTCTCTTTCAACCAGAACTGTGCTTCCAGATTATTCTCAACCACATGCACACCAAAAAATTAGTTGGGGCTGCCCCCACCACCACCTCAAAAAATGAATCACGACCACCCACCACCCACCCATTCCAATTAATAAAACTAGACGACGAGTGGCCCGAAAGCATTTTTCATCACGTAGGAAATCAGAGTGCGAGTTACCCGGTAAGTGTGTAGTGAGAAGTGTTAAGTCGAGTGAGTTGAGGTAGTGTGTGGGTTTCTGTGCGTGTGTCTATGTCCGTGTGGAAACGAGTCTGCGTATGTGTGTGTTCGTGGAAGTTGAGGGAGTGTGTGGGTGTTTGTGCGCGATGCGGCCTCCCAAACCCCCCACCGGCGGCCAAGCGGTGACAGCCCAGCTCATCGTCGTGAGCATTTGGGCTGCTGGTAAGGGGACAATGGCAGCCAGCGTGCTGGCTTACCCACTTCAACTATGATGG